TGTGATTCAACACAATTCCTACTGGTTATGAAGGATTTATTCTTACCGATGTCATTGTTAGGCATCACTGAGGAGATAATGTAAGCAAGGTAACTATTGTCCTTTCCTGCCATCATTGTTTGGAACAACTGATATAAAAGTTCAAGGTATTATGGTGACAATGAACAAATATAAATTATTTTCCCACCACATCTGTTAAAAGATACCTAGCATGATAGATCATCTAAAGAAAATGCAGAAGTACTAAGTGTGCCACCTCTCTTTTTAACTATGTCTGCAGTTTCTGGTGTAGATTTGAAAATTGTGTACCAATGAGATTTCTGTAAACTCTGGGATACACTGTACTTTGTTTTAAAAAATATCTAAAGATTGAACAACCTTGCAGTTTTAAAAAAGGGACATCAGGAATAAATTACTGTTTGAAAGATGGTTCTATTATAGGTAAAATATCCTTAGGTAATAAGGATTCAATTGAAAAAGAAAGTTAGTGGGGTGGTATTTTTTTTTTAGTTTATAAAAGGATAGGAAAAAGTTTGTCCTATTTATAAGAGTTTTTAGAGTAGGATAAAGGGAGGCAGGAATAATTAGTATATAACTTTTGTTAATAGTATTTCTATTTACATATAATTATTAATTCTATAAATATTAATATTCCTATTTTATCCTGTTGTATCATAGATATTATACACAGTAAAGCAAAATGAACTGTTTGGCATGCAATGAAATTTATATTGTTCCTTCATTTATTATAAAATCTAATTTATTATAAAATCAAAAATATATTGTTCCTTCATTTAACATGTTTCGTGTGTATCAGGCTTAATTTTTAAACATTCATATAAAGGCCAAAAAGCAATTTTGCCTCATCGGATTCTTTCCTAATATATGATTTAAAAATGGCCCCATGGGAAACATTATAAAAAAAAGTTTTGTTGTTAATGTTAAAAATGTAAAAAAAACATTCTTGTGACTACATTAAGATTTACATGTTATTTCTTATGTTATACTTTATATCTTGTTTACAATAAATAATTTTCTTAACTAAAAATGTTAGCAAACTATGACTAAAACAGCAAGATCAATACTGACCAAGAATACATTTTTAAAATTAGAAAACTACAGACTAGATAGAACTAGTATAAATCTTACAAAGAGGTGTTTATTAATTCCAGTGGCTCCCTGTTACCTCCAGGATCAAATATAAAATTCTGTCTGGTATCCAAAGCCTTTTACAACCTGGTTCCTGGCCTCTACCTTTCCAGTCTTCTTATAATTTACTCTCCCCTGTGTACTCGAAGATTCAGTGACACTGGCCTCCTCACTGTTCCTTGCACAAGATACTCCATCTCTGTATTCCAAGTATTTTCATTAGCTGTCTGTCACCCTTCCCTAGAATGCTTCTATCCACCCAGGCTCTTCCTCCTGGTTCCCTTCAAGTCCCAGCTAAGATTCTATTTTTATAAGAAGCCTTTGTTGATCCACCTTAATGCTAATGCTTAGCCTCCCTCGATTATTTCCAGTTTATCCTGTATATGTCTTGCTTGTACATAGTTGTTTTCATATTGTCTCTTTCATTAGACTGTAAGCTCCTTGAGAACAGGAACTGCCTTTTGCTCTTTTCATTTAGCACTGTGCCTGCCACATAGCAGATGTTAAACCAATGCTTGTTGACTGACTAACTGAAAAAGAAATTGCTGTCAATGAGTCACCTCTAAAACAATTTCTCAACCTGGTCCATAGCTGGCTGAAAACATTTCCATGAGATGTTGGGTTTCTAGTGGGCTAAATTCCACCCCTAATAAGTTGTTGAAATCAGAGAAAAAGAACAAGAAGGAAGAATGTTACTTTTTTCATTCATTAACAGAGTTCTTTTGTAGTCATAATTGCTAAGGCAGGAAAAGTTCACTTTCATTATTTCAAATAGCTCTTTCCCAGGATCACCCCATGCAACATTAAAAACCATCATTAATTTCCCATTAGTAAGCTTTAATTAAAATGAATATGTATCATCGCTTACAGCAATTGCATCTGTAAGAAATGCATAAGTAAATATGAATCTTGACTACAATATTCCAAATGACAATTTCCAGCCAAATCAGCCTTTTGATATCATTTCAAAGAGGTTTTTTCCCCTGACAACTTTTAGAATTTTCCCAGTCTCCTAAAATAACTAGAATTTCATGAAAACACTTACAATAAAAATTTACCAAGCTAGCTAAAATCTATTTTATTGATCAGAGAAAGTAGCATTCTAAAACATGAATAATGACCTCATGTGCTTTGGCCCATTGGGTACTGTTGTATATTTTTAGTTCAGGGCTTCTGAACAACAGCTTTAAGAGTGAATGGAATTCTTACTACTTTAAAGAATTAGGCTATTGCAAAATCCTCTAGTTTATAGTATAATCTTAATAAAATCAGTACCATTTCATTAAATTAGTAAAAATAATGTATATTTCCCAAACTACTAGTTTAACCCTTTAAAGAACAGGAAAATGTGTAATTTGGAGAATGTTTCCTTGTATACAGTTTTTAAGTTTTTCCCTTGTTCTCTTCTACTAGATAGTATAAAAGAAAGCCAATGAATTGGAAGACGAGGATTTGTGAAGTGCAAAAGAAGCTAACTGGTCTTTGAGTGTGGTCATAACAGACTATCCTAATTACTTACAGCTATCGGCCACAACTTATGGAAAATGTTAAGGTGGGCCAGCTCTTGGTTACTTCATTAACCCAGTTTTCCTGAAAATGTGGGAGAAACATGAGAAATTAAGTCCACCAACAGCTTTACCTCCCAGAAGATCAAACTCTTTTGGTATGTTCTGAGGCTTCCAAGAAAAAGGTTATGTGAATATTTAGCAAGAAGACTAAACTATCAGCATTGCCATTCCTATGAGATAAGCTATATACTATGTAGCCATGGCATGATATGACAGTTATAGCTTTTCATATCCACCTCCACCTCCTTCTTCCTACTGCCCTTTGTATATGAGTTGGGATATGGTATAACTTTGATATTTAAAAGCTTTTTACTTTTCCTTCTTTTTTCCTGAGGACAAACTACACATCCCTTTTCATTAGGAAAAGTTTATTTAAGTAGAACAATGATCAAAAGAACTACTGCAGTTCACAAAACTTTGCAAATGATTCTTTATAGAAAGCCACCTTCTAAGAATAATAATTCTATTTCATTTCATTATTTTGTAAAGTACTTGAATTATTACTATACATCTAAAAAGAAAATCTGATGTGGAATACTAAAGGCGACTGAAGAAAAGCAGTTTGCAAAAATTGTCTAAATTTTACAAAGAATTGTCATAATCCAAAATTTTAAAATATCTGCTATTGTAGTTTTGGTTATCATTAAATGTTCACATTACTTGTTCATAGGTAAAGACTATAGATGCTTCATGTTGAACTTGGAGCTTCAGAAACATGAAAAAATAATTGAAAGAAATAAATCATTGCAACATTTTAAATCCTTTGGAAACAGGACTTCCACATTTAAGAATGATGTTTTAAAATACTATGAGGTATTCAAATTGTGGGGGTATCAAAATTCAAGTTCCCTTATGTTATTGGTTGTCTAAATACCTTTTATAAAACTCTGAGACTTCTGGAAAGAAATAATTCTTAATCATTTTATGCCAGTCTCTACAGAAGCTCTCTCATAGTAGGAATCCTAGTAGAGGACCAGGCTGATCACCTTCTTAATTGCAAGCAGTGGTGTTCAATGAAAGAATTCAGAAAACTCAGGTAACTCTTCAGCTCCACAAGGTCTAAAAGTTACTTCCACATGGCCTTTCTCTATTCAATTACCATATTTGAAGTTCTTATGCCACCAGACATCACAAGGAATGAGAGTTTTTAACAGAGTATTGGTATAGTGAAGTACAGAACCATATCTCCTACCTAGACTAACTTTCTAAGAAGTTTTCTATTTTTACTTGTGGCACAGTTACAAAGACCTGTACTACCCATTCAGTAGGAAGATTTGAGACGTCTCAGAATACTAACATCTTTATTTGCATTCTTTCATATATATGAAATTCAATACATTGTAAAACGTTGCTCTTAAAGGCTTCTAAAAACTTTTTTTTAAAAATCACCCAAAAAAATCACTTTGCATACTATATCCAAATCTATGAAATAAATGGATTCTTTCACCTAACAGTTCAGGTTAGTATTTCCATTTAAAATTTTAAGTGATCAGTATGTAAGAAGATTGTTATCTTATCTGCTTCATGCTAACAGAGTAAAACCACCGACTAAATGCCAACGGCATTACCACATATACAGGCACTGCCTCTCTCGTCACGGGTTTTAAATCAGTTTAGAAATCAAGCAATGATGATAGAGAACCTGATGAACTAAAGAAGTGATCCTGAGTCCACATAACACACACTTTTATGGTAGTCATTTACATCAATCTAGGGGAAAAAAGGAGTATCACACTAAGAATTCGATATCCACATGCAAAGACAACTAACTCTGTATCTGCAAGGCACTTTCCTTTTGAACCTAGTGTTGTCACAGGAAGAATGCTGAAAGCCTGAGCGCTTCTGATGGATGATCAATCATATCTAACTAGAAGTAGAAATTTTCTGTAACAAAAAGAATACAATTGCCCACGTAGCACTCCCAAATCTAACAAGTTCTACATTTAAAATATATTTAAAAGATTCTCCGTGGAGCCCCTCCCACTCACCAAAGCATTATCAGTTTAAAAAAAAAAGGTGGAGAGCGTAGCAAGTGAAAAAGCTAGAAGAGGAGAGTGAGGAAGGGTGGGGTAATCAACACCACTTTTCTCGTTCTCTATCCCTTTCCCAAGGTAATAGCTTAAAAAGAAAAAAATCTTCAGACTCTGCAAGTGTCCGAAGTACCTAAGAAAGTGTGACTTAGACAATATCACCACAAACTATAACAGCGCAAAAAACCAAAGTGGGTGGTCGTGTAATATTGGCAGCTAGCCTCTCTCTTTCCCTCCACCCCTGATACAGTACCTCCAGATTTGCCCGAGCTGCAAGATGTGGATGAGTGACTGCAGGAGCCAGATGCAGAATGAACAGGACGCAGACCTGTTCTTGCCGCTGGCCCGGGTGACACTGCTGCTGTTGCTGCTGTTGGTGGTGGTATAGCTCTTGCTGGCATTTGAAGCTTGCCTTTGCGGTGTTGAAGGACGAGCATCTCCTTCTCCAACTGCAGACCCACCGCTGACCACCGTCTTGCAGTCAGCTGCAGGCTGTGGGCAGCTAGAAGAAGAGGGACCAGTGGCTGCCGCCGCTGCTGAGGTGCTCGTGGAGCTGTCCTCGGTACTGAAATCGTGCACGAACCAGCGAAAGCTGAAAACCTGCACAGAGAGGGAACCCAGCACCACGAAGAAGAGAGTGAGTCCAAACCACCACCGCTGGCCCCTCAGGTAGTAGTCCACTGCCAGCCAGATGTCTGTACCCACATCCGCGAAGTACACAGTCACAGCGGCTAGGATCCAGAGGCAGTCCCACAGCGAGTAGCGTTGCTGCTCCCTGCCTAGACGCAGGCACAACGAGGAGGAGCCCCCCCCACCGCCGCCGCCGCCAGAGACCCCCGAGCCGCCGCCCGAACTACTGCTGCCGCCGCCGCAGCAGCAGCACCGGGAGCAGCCACCACCACCACCACCGTCCGTACAGCAGCCACCACCGGCTGCCTCCTCGTCCTCAGCTCCAGACCCCGACGGCAAACCCGGAGCCAATCCCTGCACCGAGCCCGAGTGGTCCGAATTCTGCAGCGGGGTGAACGCCACGTCGCTGCTCTTCTTCATTTTCAGCCTCCCGTCTGACTTAGCGGCCATGATGCCTTAAAACCAGAGAAAAACCCTCCTTTATCTGACACCTTTTCCTCCTGGTGTCTCCTCCTCCAGCCACCTCCTTTTTTTCTCTCTTCTCTTTACCCTCCTTCCTTCCCCTCCCTTTCCTTCTTTACTCCCTCCCTCCGCCTTTTCCTCTGCTGCTGCTGCTGCTGCTGCTACTCCACTCCCTGATTTCCTAGCTGACTGGCTGGCTGGGTAGGTAGGATCTGGGCTGGGGCTAGCAGCTCCCCTTCCGCCAGCTGGAGCGCCGCCTGGCTGCCTACAGAAAGCCAACCTTCCTATCCCTCCCTTTCCAGTCCCCTTCTTTTTCTTCTTCTTCTCCCTCTTTTCCCGGTTGCTGCTGCTGTCCGAGCCGCCGCCGCCGCCAGCAGCAGCAGCAGCCGCGGCGGCGGTCCTCGGACCTGTACATTCCTCCCCTCTCCCTCCCTCCCTCCCTCTTTCTCTCCTCCACCAGCTGACTCCGAGTGAGAGGATGACCTCATCCCTTCTCTCCCAGCTGCTGCCGCTCCCAGCCCTGTACGAAAGGGGGAGGGGGAAGGAGGGCCCCCCGGAGGAGAAGAAGGAGGAGGAAAAAAGGGTGGAGAAGTGGGACCTTCCTTATCCCAGAGAGGCTAAGGTGTGTAGGGCCAGCACTATCTGTTCCCTCTTCTTTGTAGATTTTGGAAGAGGTTGGTAAATTTGCTAGAAACAGGGGAAGGGGAGAAGAAAGAGGTGAAGGGAGGGGTCCCCTGCATCAAACCCGAGAGAGGAAAAGAGGATTGTGAAAGAACAGCTTGTGCATTTGTGGGCGAGGGAGGAAAGTCCTGTCTCTTTTGTATTCATCACTAGGCTCTTGGTACCTGGAAAAGGGGTTGCAGGTAGCGTTTTGAACCACACAAGGGATGAGAGAGAGATTTTGACCTGGTGGAGTATAGTAGAGGATCTCTAGTCGCGAGCAGGTCACTGTGTATTTCTGTACTGTGTGTTAGCGTGCGTGCGTTTGTATGTATGTATATGTATGCATACGTGTGTGTATTCAGCCTCTGGGGTGAGCAGGTGGATAAGAACCTTTTCTGTTGCCGGGAATCGCTGCTCTTGCATAAGGCAAAACCCGAGAGGCTGGACAGGACCAGAAGTAGGGGAGAGGAAGAGCGCGGGGGGGGGGGGGATAGGATCCTAGGGAAGGGGATCTTGGGGTTGGAACTCGAGCTATTCGTTTTAGGGTAGGGGAACTGCTTGTTCTCAGAGGTTTTTCAAGAACAGAGGAAAACTGGTGTCAGGGGTGAAGTGCGGACTTTGGTGTCTGGGTGTTTAGTAGGGAAGAGGGGTTGGGGGTCCGAGAGCAGAGAGCTTGAAAGAGGAAATAGCTTGATCGATTTTGGTACACTACCCCTTCTCTTCTAGGCTGAAGCCACCTGACTGAAGCACTGTGCGCCAGTGGCTATTTCATGCCTCTGACTATTGCTGCCCTGCCCGGTAACTGCTCTGGGTGCCTGGCGGGAGCGTCAGGGTTTTTCCACTTTGTCTCAGCAGGTGGTGAAGCCCTGCAGGTCTGTCAGCTAATAGAAGATCTGACTGCTAGGACCCGGGCAGGACTCTGAGACCGCAGAAAGACTTCCCTTATACCAGAACATCTGGAAGTGACTAAATTGAAAGAGCTTCAACCACCTTCTCCACCCATTATTTTTTTTCTCTTAAAGAGACGGAAGCTGTGGAATAAGTAAATGTTCCTATCACTTCAAAAAGGGCTCAGCCCTGAATCAGCTTAACAGGCAAATAATAATAATAATGATCACTGTAGAGTTTGAAAATATTCTAAAAGATCCAGTAAAGAAATATGATCTACCTTCACCTTTCCCAAAAGTAAACTTAGTTATTGGTTTGCATCACTTAACTTTTCAAATTTAAAAGCCAGGGAGTGTAATTCTTATTGTCACACAGTGACTCAGATTGTAAAGAGCAGAAATGGAAGTGAGGTGACACGATTTTCAAGTGAGAGCATCAGTTATATTCATTTACATCTAGAAGAAAAAAGCATGACATTTCCCCTGTAACTAGTTTTCCAGCAACTTTTACACTAGTCATCAAGCCAGTCCCAAACATATGGAAATGGAAATGGCAGAGTTAATTTGTGACTCGAATAGGAGGATCATTTAGGCCCTTAGTAATGACCATTTTTCTCTACTTATAGAAAGAGCCACCTAAACCACATTATGCCAAAGATGTATCAGCTTGCTTGGATAGTTGGAATGGAATCAGTTCCACTCCTTGAACACAAACTGTCATTCACTCTCAGGCTGACATGCTCACGACCTTGCTTTTTAACCTTCCTCTGATTCTTTGCCTATTTTTCTTTTTAATGGAACTGCTTGCAGAAAGATTTGAGACTATATTCCACACAGACACAAAACTAAACTAAATGAATATGCCCAATATAATACTAGCAAAAGAACCTAATGATGAATATGGTGAGCAAAGAACCACTCCAAAGGAAGCTAAATATTGTTACTTACACTCTCATGTATACACACACACACACACACACACACATACACACACTCATACATGCACATATACACACACAAAAGCCATCTAACTTCACCCTTAATATTGAATCCTAATAGTATAGCAAAGTCCTTTGATGGAAGACACCTATGGAAAAAAATTTCCCCTTCTTTCCCTCCCCTCCCCCATCAAGTTCAAATCTAAAGAGTATTGCTCAGATTGTTCCTACTGGGCTTAACTACTGCGAAGGCACTTAGGGAAAGAAATTATCTCTTAGGTTACAGATTCCCAAGTGACAGAGCATATTCTGAGACAAAGCAAATGACCTGTGTTGTGCTGGGTGCAAATAGGAATCCACAATAGGCTACTGAGAAGGGCCAGGGCCCTTTTGGAAGAACATTTTATTCTAAATGAGGTTCTCAAATACCTATGCCATACACATGTAGGAACTGCACTTCTTTGTCAGAACCATAATTCATGTAGCCCAGTTTTCTCTTGCCAATAGTGGCCCCAAGGGACACCCCATGGGATGGCATGCTTTTTATCCCTGATTTCAGTGTTAAAGTTAAGGTATATTTCAGCTTCTCTTACCATCAGTTGATAGATATTATTCATAAACTTGTTTGAATATTTTAAAACCTATTTTTCTACCTGTAAAAGATTTGGATGGCAATTATTTCTACAAATGGATTGATCAGTTCACAGGAATTGTATTCTTCTACCCTTGTCATGGAACACAGTGCAGAAGCTCCTATTACTGTAGTAATTAGCTTATAGGTATAAGGTTAAAAGGATATAATGAGAAGAAATCTCCATCTTATGACTTCAGAACAGGAGGGTCTGAGTGCCAGAGAAAATGACTTGGGAGTAGTGCACACCAAATAATAAGCCTGGGAAACAGATTTTAGAGAGATGAAGGATACCACAAGACTATGGAGTGGTGACAACACAAACATGTCTCAAACTAGAAGTTGGAGTAACTTAGTTTAACATCCATCCAAGGGTGTACTGTAACTAGCTTATACTGAGCCAATTGTTAAATCTTTAATGTGAGCATTTACACCTTAGAATTTGGCAAATACTACAAATCAGGGCTTTACTTATTCTTTTTTATTGTCTAGACTTAAAAAAATGATGGAGAAAATGTTGATAATGTGGATCAAACTTAAAAGTGTATTAAGCATGCTCTACCCCCCCCCCCCGCAAAGCCTGGTCCTTAAACATTTTTTACCAGCACACTTCTGCCTCCAACACAGGTGAAGGAAAGGAATATGGGTGAGCGTCCCACAAACTGTGCTGGTTAAAATAATCTGTGACTGAGTTTAGGACAAAGTAATCTGTCCCCTACAAATTTGTACATTCTATACTCTTCTATTTTGTTTTCTTTTCCCTTTGTTGCCTAGTCAAAGCTCTTTTTGGAAAAAAAAATTCTTCATTTTCTTAAATAATAGGTATGTCATTCACAAATATTACCACTGAACCACAATAAAAAAAAAGCAAGGGAGTATATTCCAGCTTCCCATTGTCATTTCTGTCAAGCAAACCAAAAAACCTGACATTCTTTACCAAAGAAGGTAAAAACTCCATGAACTAATGCCTAACTTGTGCTTACTCAGCACTCTCTCCCCTACCTCCTAGCAGCAAAACTACACAAGTAGACCTAACCTAGGGGTTTACAATAGAATGAAACCTCACATCTTAATCCCACCTCTCTCTAGTGCTTTGGAGATCCAAACTCCAAACTGCAGTAATTTGCTGAGGCTGTGATAGCCAGCACCACAGAAGCATTCTGTATTGCAACAGAGCTCTGCAGGAGAGCAGTGGAACAGAAGGAATGGGGCAGGACATATGTCTGGGCTTGTAATAGAGCTCAACTATATGCCACTGAAATCCAAACTCCAAACTACAGAAATTTACTCAGGCTTCAATAGCAGCAGCATGGAAGCATTCTCTACTGCTAAGCTAGAGAACTGAGGAACAGAGAGAATGAAGTAGGATATCATGGGTGGGGAGATAAAAGGCTGAAGGAAAGAACCCAGCATGCAGCTGGGTGCAGTTCTGTTCCCTCATCCCAAAAGTCTCTTGGGGCAGAGACCAAGGCTGGTGATCATGAATTGCCTTTTGTGGGAGATGGTTGAGATTCTTTGAGATCCCACCCCAGAGAAACAAGAAAGAGAAAAGAGGAAGTCAGAAAATAAGCAAGAGGGGAAAACAAGATGGAAATTACCAAAGATCTTAGGAGGAAGAAAAATCAAAAGACCTTGAAGATAAACAGATAAACCAACAGGGAAGAAACTAATAGCAGAAGGAAATATGTCCTCCAGATCTGGTAAACTAGTTCAGGAATCTATGGATAAATATTGCACACAAAAGAACATAATTCAGCACCACATAAGGTTCCTATGGATTTTGAGGAGATCATGAAATCAAAAGACACTATAACTGAATGATTTAAAAAAAGAGAGCAGAAATTATGGCCTGAACCACAAAAATATTTGCAAAATAGAAAAAAAAATCTATGGTGGTAAATCTCAACAAAGAAACAAAAGAGAACACAAATGATTGAGAAAGCAAATACAGAGAGATGAAGGACAATCTAAAAGAGGAGAAGCAAA